TTCTTCTTTGTTGCCCTCTGATGGATGAGGATAAGAGGCTTGTGCAAGTTTCCTGATGGGAGGGACTGACTGTGGGGAAAGTATTTCTCTGGTGGGCAGGGCAATGCTCAGTAAACCTTTAATCCAATTTTCTGCTGATCGGTGGTGAAATGAAGCAGAGTCCTTTGTTCCTTGCCCTTGTACCATGTCCTTTCCCTGCTCTTTGTGGAAAACTTCAAAGAATAAGTGTAATCAGAGAATTGAGAAATGTGGACACAAAGGAAAAGGGTCAAAGGAGACTAAATAATAACCATGTGGTCATTAAGATTAATCAAGGACCTTCAGCCCTTTCTCAAGGGCTATAGATAATATTCTGAACCATATCCTGTGAGTTGCCTTATAGATACTAGAACACCAGGTGGAGAAGTTAACCACATGATGGCCAGAATATATCCATGACATAAACTGTCACAATTCTGAGTACTGGCCTCAAGAAATGCAAATAAATGGGTCCCAGAACTGAAGACTAATGTGCATAAAGCAATCAAGATGACCCGGGTCAGATCACTGATGAGCAATTTGAAGATGACTGTCAAAGCTGACTGTGCTGTTTCTGCATATAGCACCCCTGTCACTTCTGTCTATAAGGGCTCTTGCCCCACTGGTTGAAGTGGAGGGGGGTTGGACTTTGGATCGATGTGTGTCACCCCAACAGCCCAGTTGCTGGAATCTGAAATCAAACAAACTTTCCTTTCCACCAACCTGGCCTGATTATTGGCTTTGACATGAAGAGCAGCTGTCCCCACAAACACCCTTTTGGTAAAAGTGGGACTGTGCTCCCTCCAGTACAAGGGAAAACCACTAGGCCATTCTGGTATGACCTAAATGAAATTCTTTATGATTATACAGTGGAAGTGACAAAAAGATTCAAGGGATTAGATATGATAGACAGAGTGCCTGAAGAACTATGGGTGGAGATTTGTAACATTGTACAGGAGGAGGTGACCAAAACTATTACCAAGAAAAGAAATGCAACAGGGCAAAATGGTTGTTTGAGGAGACCTTACAAATAGCTGAGAAAAGAGGAAATGCAAAAGGCAAAGGAGGAAGGGAAAAATTTACCCATCTGAATGCAGAGTTCCAAGGAATAGCTAGGAGAGATAGGGAAGTCTTAAGTGATCAATGCAAAGAAATAGAGGAAAACAAAATAATGAGAAACACTAGAGATCACTTCAAGAAAATTAGAGATACCAAAGGAACATTTCATGCAGAGATGAGGACAATAAAGGGAAGAAATGGTATGGACCTAAGATAGGCAGAAGAGATTAGGAAAATGTGGCAAGAATACAAAGAAGAACTATTCCAGAAAAAAGCCTTAATGCCCGGGATAACCATTATGGTGTGATCACTCACAAGGAGCCAGACATCATGGAATGTGAAGTCAGGTGGGCCTTAGAAAGAATCACTATGAATGAAACTAGTGGAGGTGATGGAATTCCAGCTGATCTATTCTAAATCCTAAAAGATGATGCTATGAAAGTGCTGCACTCAATAGCCCAGCAAATTTGGAAAACTTAGTAGTGGCCACAGGACTGGAAGAGGTGAGTTTTCATTCCAATCCCAAAGAAGGGCAATGCCAAAGAATGTTCAAACTGTTGCACAATTGCACTCATTTCACATAGTGGTAAGGTAATGCTGAAAATCTTTGATGCTAGGCTGCAATGGTATATGAACCAAGAACTTCCAGATGTATGAACTGGATTTAGAAAAGCCAGAGGAACCAGAGATCAAACTGCCAACATCCATTGGATCATAGAAAAAGAAAGAGAATTCCAGAAAAAACACCTATTTCTGTTTCATTGGTTACTCTAAAGCCTTTGACTGTGTGGATCACAACAAACTGTGGAAAATTCTTAAAAAGACGGAAATACCAGACCACCTTACCTGTCTCCTGAGAAACCTGTATGCAGGCCAAGTAGCAACAGTTAGAACAGGACATGAAACAATGCACTGGTTACAAATTGGGAAAGGCATATATCAAAGCTGTATATTTTCACCCTGCTTATTTAATTTATATTCGGAGTACATTATGTGGAATGCCAAGCTGGATGAATCACAAAGTGGGCTGAAGATTGCTTGGAGAAATATCAGTAACCTCAGATACACAGATGACATCACCTTAATGGCAGAAAGGCTTCCCTGGTGGCTCAGACAGTAAAGCGCCCCCCTACAATGTGGGAGACCCAGGTTCAATCCCTCGGTCAGGAAGATCCTCTGGAGAAGGAAATGGCAACCCACTTCAGTACTCTTGCTTGGAAAATCCCATGGACGGAGGAGCATGGAAGGCTACAGTCTCTGGGGTTGCAAAGAGTCAGGGACATGATTGAGTAACTTCACTTTCTTTCTTTCTTTTAATGGCAGAAAGCAAAGAGGAACTAAAGAGTCTCTTGATGGAGGTGAAAGAGGAGAGACAAATAATGGGCTTAAATCTCAATATTTGAAAAATTACAATCATGGCATCTGGTTCCATCCCTTCACAGCAAACAGATGGGGAAAAAAATGGAAACAGTGACAGAGTTTATTTTCTTGGCCTCCAAAATCACTGCAGATGGTGACTATAACCATTAAATTAAGTTGCTTGCTTCTTGGAAGAAAAACTATGACAAATCTAGGTAAACGGTTTAAGAGCAGAGCCATCACTTTGCTGACAAAGATCTGTAGAGTCAAAGCTATGGCATTTCCAGGAGTCATGTATGAATGTGAGAGTTGGACTATAAAGAAGGCTAAGCCCTGAAGAATTGATGCTTTCAAACTGTGGTGCTGGAGAGGACTCTTGAAAGTCCCTTGGACAACCAGGAGATCAAATCAGTCAATCCTGAAGGAAATCAACCCTGAATATTCATTGAAAGGACTGATGCTGAAGCTGAAACGCCAATATTTTGGCCACATGATGTGAAAAACCAACTCACTCGCAAAGACCCTGATGCTGGGAAAGATTGAGGGCAAGAGGAGAAGGGGAGAACAGAGGATGAGATGGTTGGATGGCATCACTGACTCAATGGACATGAGTTGAGCAAACTCTGGGAGATAGTGAAGGACAGAGAAACCTGGTGTGCTGCAGTCCATTGGGTGGCAGAGTTGGGCTCAGCTGAGAAACTGAACAAGAGAACTCTTCCATCTTCATCTTGTAGACTCTACCGAGATCTTCAGAGACAGACTATAGTATCTTTTTTTTCCCATTTACTTTTATTAGTTGGAGGCTAATTACTTTACAATATTGTATCTTAGAAACTTTTATCTAATGCTCCTATCTTCCCACCTTCTCTTCGAATACAACACTCCCAGGTCACACATGTAAGGACTTTGTCATTATAGTAGGGTTACCAGGTAAACCAAGAATATCTTGCCTCTCAAGATTTTAATCAGCTTTACAAGATTGTTCCCAGACCAGGTTCAGAACCATTACCCCTGCGGTGGAAGCACAGAGTCCTCATCACTGGACCACCAGGAAAGTCCCAGGTTAAAGGAAATTTTTAGCCATTATTTCATCATACCTACATTTTCGGCTCCCTTCTCCATCTCTTCTGCTTCTGGAACCCCCACACTGTGAATGTTAGTATGTTCTACTCCCTAGTTAATGTAGCATTCTTCTTATGAGTCTGTATTCTGGTAAATTATTTTGGTAAATTATTAATCTCTATCTCAATGTCTTATCTTTTCAAGTTTTTTTTATTGTTTCATTTGACACAAATTCCTCTCCTCATTTTGCTTAGCTTCCTCCTTTTCTATTAAGTTAGGTGAAAAAGTTACCTGTCCTGGTTTTGCAGGGCTGTGCTTGTGTGGACCTGTCCCTGTGGAGTCTGTGTGCACAAGGCTTTGGGGCAGAGCTGGAGCTGAGCAGGTCAGAGGTCAATCCTTCCCAGGTTGCGTTGGCAACTGTCACCTCGGTGGGAGGGGGAAGGGCAGGCTAGAGCCAGAGCCCAGTGTGAGCAAAGGCTTCTGTGCTCAGTGGCTGTCCCCACCCTACTGGGCCAGGCGAGTCCCAAGATGCTGGAGCAGAACTCTGGGGGTTGGGTCCAGACTGGTTCCACTCATTGTAAGTGTGCACCTCTTGTAAGTATGCAGCCCCATCCCCTGCACTGCACCTTTGCCCCAGAGGGTGGCAGAGCTGGAGGAAGGCGTGCAGGAGCAGCCCCTGGTGCGGGTGGCCATGCATGTGGTACAGCCCTGGCACACCGTCAGAGCCCCAGACCCTGCTCCTCGGGGCCCTCTGTGATGGCCACCCTGCCCCGTCCAGATGTGTGGGTGTTCCTGTGTGTGTGTCCCTGTGTGTGTGTGTTCCTGTATGTGTGTCCCTGTGTGTGTGTGTGTTCCTGTGTGTGTGCGTGTTCCTGTGTGTGTGTGTTCCTGTATGTGTTCCTGTGTGTGTTCCTCTGTGTGTGTGTGTTCCTTTATGTGTGTTCTTCCGTGTGTTTGTGTGTGTGTGTGTGCATTCAGTTCGGTACTTGAAATAACAGGGAAAATCTCACTCTTGGTAAATTTGTTCCTTGTCATGACTTTCACTAGTTAGCTTGTCATGCTTCTAGTCCTGGGATCAGCCCAACAGTAAAGCTACGGGTGGCTCAGTTCACTTTTGAGTCAGCATCTTACTTGGCCGAGACTGGCTATCTGATTCAGGTGAATTTATGACTGTTTTTGAATGCACTATGCTCCTCAAAGCCACACCCCCATTCTATTCAAGGCCTTTTTAATACATAGTTTAGTCTATGTCTGTACCCTTGCTCTTTGTCCTTGGCTCTCTCTCTCTCTCTCTCTCTCTATATATATATATATATATATATATGGTTTAACCTTAGAGTTTAACCTTAGAGTTAAGTGGAACAGACACTAGTCCCCAGACAGTCCTCAGGTAGGTTGAAACACCACACATAGGATTTTATGTTATCAGTCTGGATTGAGGGAAGCAACTGGGAGCTCATCAAGACTGCACTGCCCCAGGCAGGAGGAGGGTACAGGTGAGTAATACACGATGAAATTTCCTTCCACTCTGTTCTGGATTTTTCCTAATTGCTTGTTCACTTTGTTGCTGTCAATCTGTGTTTGATTGTTTTCCAGAGCTCCTATGAAGTTTTTCAGCTAATTTCTCTTATTATTCTTGTCTTTCCATGGGAGAGTTCAGTCCTCCCACCTCACCATTTTGCTGACATCACTGTACGTGTTAAATTTTGTCTTCACAACGTTCTCGTGTATCAATGCATCACAATTTCTGTTATCTTTCCAAATTTGTTGCATTTTAATTTGTTTATAGGTTTTTCATTTATGAATGATGTGGAGAAGTTAGTAAATTATGTAAAATATGTATCAGTGACATTATAAGAGTACCCTAAAAGTTATATAACTAGCTACAAGGAATCAACACTCAAAGTCTCTTTGCACACTGTACATGGTATCCTAAGGCTATTAATAATTAACTTCCAATAAGCACTTTGCCAAAATGTCTTGTTTCAGTTTTCTGTTCAGGATTTCACCAGTCAGGTCTGTAAAGCATAATAATTTTGCTGTGGTAAATGTAAAAGTGGAAATTTATTTTCATTTGAAGTTTTGATTCTTTATTAAGGGGTAACATTTTGAAAAATTCTTTTAAACACTTTCAGATTTTGTGATTTGTGTATGTGTGTGTGTTTGTACTGTAAGGTAGTTTTTTCAATTGATATTTGATTGAGATTGGGCTTCATAATAGAAAATTAAAAAAGAATGTTGTTGGAAGTTTCTAGTCTAACTAACAGTCAATAATTGCTCACTCAATCTCATCATTATATAATACTTGAGGTTATGCTGATAAAAAGAATCAAAAAAGTTAACTGTGTTCAATCATCTCTGACTCCATGGGTACTAATTTAATCATGCTTCTCCTACAATGTCTCTCCCAACACTGGACAGTGCAGCTGGGGCGTTTTGTTCTTGTTATTTATAACACTTGAAGGGAGAAGAAAAAATCCCAGTCGGCTTACTCAGAAGAGGAACAGACAATGGATCCCAAAGGCCAGAAACTGAAGCTTAATGATGGCCACTTCATTCCTGTCCTGGGATTTGGAACCTATGCACCTCCAGAGGTAACAGTACTGGTTGTGGGTTGAGATATAAATAGCAGTGGATGTGACATGAGCAGAAGGGACTTGGGTTGTCAAGCCCTGAGCTCCTGTGTGACTCTGGGAGGGTCATGTGGTTCCATCAACCAGGCTAGAACCATTTCCTATGAAAGAGGAGAAAGCATTCAGCCTTCACTCTGCATCATGGTCTGAAGCTGTGCTCACCTGCAGATTACTCTGGGTTTCCTTCCAGTTTCCATCTCTTTCCCAGCTTGGCAGGAGGTGAGACTCAGCTGTCAAGAATACTGTTAGCTGCTTTGCTTTGAAGGTGATTGCAATGGTGAGGTTTATCAGTATATTTAATTAATTCCAGAACTCTTTCCTCCTTCCAAAAAGCCATGACACAGAGAAGTATTTGAGGTGGGAGGTCCTGTAGATGAGGTTATTGAAAAATAATGGGAATGAATTGCTTTTATACTGTGGAGTGCCTGCTAGATGGCAGGCAAGAAACACTCCAGCCCTGTTTTGCCTTATTTTTTGTTTCTGCTTGGAAATTTATTCTCAGAGAAAATATACTATCATTTGAGGGTAAAAGTTACTACTTTACTGGCCAGGTTTTGTAATGTTTTCTTGGGCTTCCCTGGGTAGTTCAAATGTTAAAGAATCTGCCTGCAATGCAGGAGATCTGAGTTCTATCCCTGGGTCGGGAAGATCCCCTGGAGAAGGAAATGGCAACCCACTCCAGTATTCTTGTGGAGAATCCCGTGAACAGAGGAGCCTGATGGGCTACAGTCCATGTGGTCACAAAGAGTTGGACATGACTGAATGACTAACACTTTTTTTTTCAATCTAAAAAAGTATTATTCACTTATTCTTTTTTTTTCCATTTATTTTTATTAGTTGGAGGCTAATTACTTTACATGGATTCTATACTATCTGAGCCAACAAGGAAGTATGGTCTGCAAAGCCTCAAATATTTCCTATTTGACTTTCTACAGCAAAAGTTTGCCGAACTCTTTTTTTTTTCTTTTTTTCTTTTTTTCATTTATTTTTATTAGTTGGAGGCTAATTACTCTACAATATTGTAGTGGGTTTTGTCATACATTGACATGAATCAGCCATGTAATGGATTTACATGTATTCCTCATCCCCATCCCTCTGGGTCTTCCCAGTGCACCAGGCTCGAGCACTTGTCTCATGCATCCAACCTGGGCTGGTGATCTGTTTCACCCTAGATAATTTACATGTATTCCCCATCCCGATCCCCCCTCCCACCTCCCTCTCCACCTGATCCCTCTGGGTCTTCCCAGCGCACCAGGCCCAAGCACTTATCTCATGCATCCAACCTGGGCTGGTGATCTGTTTCACCCTAGATAATACACATGTTTTGATGCTGTTCTCTCGACTAACACTTTAAACTTTGAAATGGGAAAGATTCTGAATCATATAAAGAGAAATGGAATATTATTCAGCATTAAAATGAAGTTAATCCTGCCATTTGCAACTGCACAGATGGGTGGTGAGAACTTTAAGGCAAGTAAAACAAACCAGAAATAGAAAGACAAATACTGCATAATATCCTTGTAGCTAGAATCTAAAAAAGTAGAAATCAAAGAAGCAGAGAATAGAGGTGTGGTGACCAGAAGCTGGTGTCAAGGCTGGGAAAAGTGGTAAGTTGTCGGTCAAGGGTACAGACCACAAATTATAAGATGAATAATCATGGAGACCTGATGTAAAGCACTGTGACTGTAGATCTCGGCGCTGAAGGAGCTCAAGGAGCAGCTGGAACAAGCCAAGAGCCACGGGGAGAAGGAGCTGCCGCAGTGGGTGCGGGAGGACGAGCGCTTCCGCCTGCTGCTGAGGATGCTGGAGAGGCGGATGGACCGAGCAGAGCAGAGGGGAGAGCTTCAGACAGACAAGATGATGAGGTCGGCCGCCAAGGACGTGCACAGGCTTCGAGGCCAGAGCTGTAAGGAGCCCCCGGAGGTGCAGTCTTTCAGGGAGAAGATGGCATTTTTCACGCGGCCTCGAATGAATATCCCGACCCTCTCTGCAGATGACGTCTAATCGCCAGAAAAGTATTTCTTTTGTCCCACTGATCACGCTGTGAACCTAGACTGTGGCTAAAGTTATTTATGTGGTGTTATATGAAGGTACCAAGTCATGAGTCGTCTAGCACTCTTGTCCGTTTGAAGATAAACAGAATTTTTTAGTTTGGGTTCTATTATTATTAAAAAAAAACCCAAAAAACAGACAAAAAAAAACCAAAACAAAAAAACAAACAAAAAAAAAAAACCAGCATTATAATGACAAGATTGTATAGTTTGTATATTTAGGAATGTATTTTTGAGAAAGAAAATTTAAATGAACTAAAGCAGTATTAAGTTGCTGCTCTTCTTAAAATAAAGTTGTTTAGATTTTTTTTTTTTTTTTGTACAGATCTACCTACTAGAGGTTTCACTGCAATAAGAAGTAATGTTTGGGGGACAGTAATCCTCAAAGGATGTCCTGAAGGTGTCACAGCACAGCTGACCTTTCGTACTTAATGTATTTTGTACACTCTTTTTAAAAAGATGCACGGGAACTGTGCAGGGCTTCTGAGGTGCGTCCGTGAATCTTCACGCGCTGTGATGTGTTTTTATGTGGCCGCCTGACGTGGAGTGGGCAGTGTGGGGCTGGCTGGTGACTGGCCTGCCCACGCTGGTCTGATGCCCAGTGAAGCACTGACGCGAGTGAGGGAGGGCTGTGGAGAACACCTTTCAGTTTTATCTCCATCAATAAAGTGGCCTTTCTGAAAAAAAAAAAAAAAAAAAAAATAATGGGATATAGATTTAGTTTTGTAGACTAGATCTTATGTCTTCTTACAAACACCCAAAAAAGTTAGTTGTGTGAGGTGATGGAACTGTTACCTAGGCTGAATTTGGTAATTCATTAAGAGTGGATCCTTACATTGGTAAGAATAATCATGGGAAATGGCAGACTGGTTGAAGCTCAAACTTGAATCAAGCTCAAGCCAGGAGAAAGATCAATAACTTCAGAATGGAGATGATACCACCCTAATGGCAGAAGGGAAGAGGAACTAGAGAACCTCTTGATGAAGGTGAAAGAGGGAGTGAAAAGCTGACTTAAAATTAAACATTCAAAAAACTAAGATCATGTTAGTCAGTCCCATCACTTCATGGCAAATAAATGGGGGAGAAACAGAAACAGTGGCAGACTTTATTTTCTTGGACTCCAAATCATTGTGGACAGTGACTGTAGCCAGGAAATTAAAAGGTGATTGCTCCTCAGAAGAAAAGCTAAGAGAAAGCTAGACATCATGTTTAAAAACAGAGACATTGGCTTGTGGACAAAGGTCCATATAGTCAAAGCCATGGTTTTTCCAGTCGTTATGTATGGATGTGAGAGTTGGACCATAGAAGGATAGGCAGGAAAGAATTGATGCTTTTGAAGTATGGTGTTTGAGAAGTCTCTTGAGAATGCCTTGGACAGCAAGGAGATCAAACCAGTTAGTCCTAAAGGAAATCAACCCTGAGTATTCCTTGGAAGGACTGATGCTGAAGCTGAAGTTCCAATACTTTGGCCACACAATACGAAGAGCCAACTCATTGGAAAAGACCCTGTTTCAGGAAAGGACAGAAGGCATGAGGAGAAGGAGGCAACAGAGGGTGAGATAGTTGGGTGACATCATTGATACAATGGACATGAGTTTGAGCAAACTGCAGGAGACAATGAAATATAGGGAAACCTGGAGTGCTGCAGTCCATGGGGTCAGAGAGGATTGAACAGGACTGAGTGACTGAACAAAAACAGCGACTTATATGAGAACACCTCTTTGTACACCTTGATTGCATACAGTTTTTATGTGTTGTATTCTTTGTGGCCTCACTGGTAGACAGAGGTCTTAGAAGCAATTACCTTGTTTCCTGATGCTTTTACCAGGCAACTTACACCTTTGTTCAATTATCTGCAATGATCTCACAGTATAAATCCTATCTGTGATTGCAATGCTATCCTGAGTCCTTTGGGTTCTACCAGCAAATCAATGAACCTGAAGGAGGTCTTGAGGTCTCTGATGCACATAATCAACCATGATCACCTCAGGATGAATGGTTCCTGGGTGTCCACTTAATCACTGACCAGGAACATTCAGGGAAATCATCAAGCATTCATCACCACACATACAGAACTAACCAAAGACACACAAAAAAGTTGATGTTGGGAAGATGAAAGCTTGTTCCTAGCAACCTCTTAATCATGTGGATATTCAACCTCTACCTTTGTTGCTTATGTAGGTTGCTAAGAGGGATGCTCTGGAATTCACCCCATTTGCTATAGAGGTTGGGTTCCGCCATATTGACTGTGCTCACGCTTACCAAAATGAAGAGCAGATAGGCCAGGCCATTCGAAGCAAGATCGCAGATGGCACTGTGAAGAGAGAAGACATATTCTGCACTTCAAAGGTACTGTGTGTGTTGTGTGTGTGCACATGTGTGCAAGTGATTGTGCCCAGGTGGCAATTATATAATAGGATCCTTTGGTGAAGAATTTCTTGGTGAACTATGCTTATTGGTAAATTCCTAAAGTATTAGGGTTCTCTGGTGGTTCAATGCTTAAGACTTGGCACTTTAATGCTGTGTGCCTGGATTTGATCCTTGGTTGGGGAAGTAATAGACAAGCCTTGCAGTAAGGCAAAAATAAGTTACCTAAAGTATTCTTAATACAACAGTTTTTCTTTAACCTCTGCAGCTGTGGTGCACATCCTTTCGACCAGAGTTGGTCAAACCAGCCTTGGAAAAGTCACTGAAAAGTCTTCAACTGGACTATGTCGATCTCTATATTATGCATTATCCACTGGCTCTGAAGGTTAGAAATTTGTGTGATCACATCAGTGTTACATCTTGTGTTAGAATGTGCATCAACTTGCAATGATGGTTAAATTAAGATTTTTCTTAGTTGGTTGAAGGGATGATTACACTAGATAGAGTAGAATCCTCCAAATAATCATTTGTGATAATCTTTTTTACTGAGTTTCTTTGAATCCCTTACATGCCTTCCAGAGAAAAGAGTTAATATTCTGAGATTCTCTGCCAGAAAAACTTAAGAAAATAGAACTAGGTGAGTTCTGCACACAGTCCTTGTTATGACTCCTGTCTGGGGATTTCATGAAACAAGAGTTTGGTGCATCCGTGGTGAGCATGACACTGCCTTACATTGAACATGATGAGTTTATCTTGTCTTTCACCCTTTCAAGTTGAGCATATTTGGTGCTCCTTCTGGGTGCATCTAAACCTCGTACCTATACAGGGACTTGGGATAACTTTCCTGCACTCTCCCTAGTCTTCAGATGTGGTTTATAGACTGCACTTATCCATTAAGAAAGATTTACTTAGAATACTTGATTTCAAGTCACAGAAATCAGCTCAAACCACCCAATGCAAAATAGCTTAGTGGTCTACATAGATGGCAAGTTCCAGCCACAGACAATAATGATGGTTGCAGTACTCTAAAGATGTGTCTCCTTTTCCTATCCCTTATAAGGGCACTACTCATGGTTTACTTTATTTTTATTGAACATTTTCCATTGGTGGGAAATTTGACCTTGGGGCAGCTTGAGGCTCATGGTCATGAATATATGAGAGCATGTCTGGGTCTTCCACACTCCATATCAACCCAATGAAAGCCTTGCTGGTTCATGTGCCTGTCCTAGGGCACCTGATGCTCAGAGGGAAAAGAGAGTCTGATTATCTAGACCAGGTCAAGATAGCAAATTTTATTCTGGAAATAAAGCCATGTAACTTACTGCCATTCCCAGCTCATAGAGGCATTTGGAAACAGGCAAGTACAAGAACAGACAAAATTCGCAGAAGTCACAGGATGTCCCTTTTAGGACCTAGAAAAATTGTACTTATTACAACATATATTAAAGTTAGATGTTAGAATAACTCTCCCTCCTAATGACATTGCTTATATACACAAATCCTTTGCAAATATTATCTAGTATCTAGAAAGTTGTAAACCTACCTCATGCAGTTTTAATCCCTGGTGCCAGGCAGTCTTGCTAACTATGGAGAAATTATTTTGTGATGTCTCTAAAATGACTGCTTCTATTATAGCCAGGGGAGGAATTATATCCAAAAGATGAAAATGGAAAACTGATAGCTGACTCAGTGGATCTCTGTTGCACATGGGAGGTGAGTATGAAGAGTAGAGAGACCGGAGAGGAGCCAGGAGAGTGGGAACCTCCTTCACTTCTTCCACCTGTGAGAATGGGCTGTGGAGTTCAGACTCAGCAGTTCATGAATCTAAGGGCTGGGATGCTGGGTTTGTGGGGAGGAAACCATTGTTGAAATGTTTACAGAGAGGAAAGGAGGAGGAGAATATGGGACAATGCAGACAGGCATCTCTTTCCTTCCATGTGATATGTCTTTTCCAGGGTTCAAGGAGCAAACAGTATTTCTTTTTATATCATGTCTTCTTCCCCTCTTTCATTCTTGATAATCAGTGCTAATTCTTGATGGATGACGGTGATTACCAATGTTTTTCAGCATTTATTCTTGCTCTATCATTCCATGTAATTGTTCACCACCCCTCCCTCCCAGGCCCTGGAGAAGTGCAAGGATGCAGGGCTGGCCAGGTCCATCGGGGTGTCCAACTTCAACCATAAGCAGCTGGAGAAGATCCTGAACAAGCCGGGGCTCAAGTACAAGCCTGTCTGTAACCAGGTGAGCAGTTCGGCTCCTCTCCCTCCTGCTCTTCAGAACCTCCTTCTTGCCCTGGAGCCTGATGTCTGTCTGTTGTCCCCCCCCTGTTCATCTGACCATTGTGGACAGGAGATTCTAAACAGCTGAGTTCCTGTCTGGATGATGTGTACAAAATCCAAAATGGTATCTCTCTGTATATCTGGGCAGAAAAGTGCAGAGATCTTCCTGGTAGAACCCAGAAGTAGAGGAAGGAGGTATTTCCCCGAGATGAAAGGATGGCCAGATGACAGGGTGAAAGTGCCCTAGAGTGAACTTTGTACAGGAAGGAAAACCATGAAAATGTGGAATGGGAAATAAATTGATAAACAGGCAAATCAGCTGAGATGGGAGTTAAGGGTTTGTGTGGGGTTCTGATGGCTGAATCCTTAATCTTGGTGTCGCAGTGTTTATAAGTCTTTAACAGGGAGCACAGTTGAGAAAAATGTGTTGGTATGATGAAAATCATTCAGGTTAGAGAGTGATGTTAAAGGCTCATTGTGATGCTAACACTATGAATTTTACTCATGAATATCTACTCAAATGTAGACCCCATCTTTTGGTTAGTCAATCTCGGACTGGTTCTCCCATTTATATCCATCATAAATTAAGTGTATATACAAACTTTTCTCTATTTCTCTGTTGATATTGGTATTTCCGATTTACATTTAATGTCATTGTTTTTCCTTTATCATTTTTTAAACTTTTTTCCTTTCTCTGTCATTTAATATTACATTTCCATAATATGTGACACCCTTTTCTATTGGTTTTCTATAGGTGGAATGTCACCCTTATCTCAATCAGAGGAAACTGTTGGATTTCTGCAAGTCACATGATATTGTTCTTGTTGCCTATAGTGCTCTGGGATCCCAAAGAGTAAAAGAATGGTATTGAACTCTAATGAAAGCAACAGGGATTTTATGTAAAATTCAATTTTTGATGAGATAGTTTAAATCATACAATACTCAGGTAACTCTCATAGTCAGAGGGGAGAGTGAGGAGTAATGGAATGAATTCTTCTCTTTTATCATCCCATCACCCAGCCAATTTTTCTAGATTGTATTAGCTTGTCGACTCATGAATAACAAGTGTCTGCATTAAAATCTACGTAGAAAATCTCCCAGTTGAGACCAGAGACACAAGTTTATGTCATGACCTATTTATTAACTAATGAACACATTTTTAAAAATAGTTGTTCCAAGGTTCACTTACCTTATGTCTAAAGTTGAGATAATAGTATTTAACTCCTAGGTTTCTATCATGATTGAAAAAAATTTCAATTTGAACCATTTTTGTAAGCATCTATAGTAGAATAATGATGAAATAAATGTCTCTTATTTTGAGACCTCTCAATTTTTATCAATACCTTAGAAAAAGTGAAATTGACAAGCAATTCTTGGTCTTTCCTTCTGCTTCTCTATTCACGCCCTTGATTATATAAGAAAAAACACCCCTGAAAATAAAAGGAAAAAAAAACCCATGAGTTTGGCAGTCCTGGTCTCAACTCAATATTGCCTCTGAGTTACCTGCAGAGTTTTATAAACACATAGTAGGAGGTGACACAGTTGAGGTTCTGATTCAGTTTGTTTTCAGCTCTGCCATGGAATTTGTATTTCTTATAAGATCCCAGCTGATAGTGATGATGCTGGTCAATGAACTATACTTTGAGAAGCCCTGGTCTAGAGTGAACCTCTTGTTCTGTTTGGGAAAATATTCAGAAACTGAGTATTTAGTCTCAGCTCCTCAGCATTTCTGAATTTTCTTCCAGGGTGAACCTGAACCACCCCGTTCTCTTGGAGGACCCAGTTCTCTCTGCCATCGCCCAAAAGCACAAGAAAACCCCAGCTCTGGTTGCCCTTCGCTACCAGATACAACGTGGGGTTGTGGTTCTGGCCAAGGGTAACAAAAAGGAGTGGATCAAAGAGAACATGCAGGTGATGACAAGTGGGGCTGTGGGCAGAGGGCTCCTAGGAAATACCCTTCACGAGGGTCACTCTTTGTCCAGCCCTCACACTATCTTTGGGCCAAAACGAATTACCTGATCTTTCCCTGTGTGTGAATGCTTGGTAGTTTTCTCCTTCTGCTGTGGCAACAGGAGAGGCATTATGAATGGAGAGGGTTATGGTTGGACAGAAAAGGAAGATTTTAGCTTGAGCATTACATTTGCAATGTATTCTGTCACTTTGTGCAAATGACATCATATTTTCTTCATTCTCAATTATGCAATTGCATTTTGTGATTTTTTTTATACTGTTTGAACTGCTCTAATAAAGCACCATAGGTTGGGTGGCTGAGAAAAAAATCGGAATTTGTTTCTCACAGTTCTGAAGCTGGAGATCTGAGATCAGAGTGCCTGTGTGGTCAGGTGAGGCTGCTGCTCCAAGTCACAGGTTACTCCTTATATCTTAACACGGTGGAGGGGGCAAAGACCTCCCCCAATTCTCTTATATGAATTTGATGTTGTTCAAATCTCATTCATGAAGGCTCCACCATCATGATGTAATCACCTCTCAAAGGATTCATTTCTAACAGCATCAATATGTGAATATGAGAGCAGAAAAATTATGGCAGTGATCTTTAACTTCCAAACCATTGTGTTTTTGTTTTGCCTTTCCCTGAACACTAACAAGATTTCATCTTCATACATTTAATCTTCTTGAGTTTCTGTCTTCGTGAAGTTCCTCTTCAAGACTTTGTACATTTTTCTAGGTTGTCTATACTTTATTTTCTATGTAGGAGACCATTATTGTATCTTTAGCTATAACTGTATGGAAACTCCCCAGTTTCAGGATTTAATGCAGAGATGATTTATGCGTCCCTTGATTCTGTGGTTTGACCATCAACCTGCACTCAGCTAAGCTGTCGTCCTCTAGGCTGGGCTCTCCTGTGCTTTTGCAGTTCAATGCCAAGCAGCTGGGCAGTTCTGCTTTAGCAGGTGGACGAGGCTCCTGTCAGAGGGGCCTCCACCCTTCTCTGTATAGTTTTTATGAATATTTGACTAGACTGGGACAACTAACCTGGTTTTCATCTCAGCACAGTGCTATGATCCCAAGTCAGTGATTAGGGAAATAGTCCTCTTCCTGTCTGGGCTCAGATCTAGGTCATCTCTTCTGGGAAATATCATTGTCCAATGCTGGTTATAGGTCAGGCTAAGTAAGGGGAATGGAAATTGTCCCCTGATCAATTGTTTCTGTGTTTCCATTTAAATTTGGTTCTGTAATCTAGCTGGAACTGTTTACCTAAGACAATATGAAAATGGATGCACACATGTTAAAGTATATTTAAATGTAAAGCTAAGGCTTCATATTTCCTCACAGATTTTCATTGTCAACTCAGTCATATATCAAGTGTCCATAAGTACATTTCTGTTTTCTCTTTTCTATTTAACTATTCAGCTTTCTGCATCACGTTATTAAAGTGGAAAAATAAGTCTTGTTTTTCAGAATGGTAATTTTTTATTTTTTAAAGCTGTCTTAGCTGCTTTTGATTAGCTGTTCTTTTATTTAACATTTAGCATAACTTTACCAGCTTCTAGGAAAGAATACATGCTCAAGTCTTTGGTTCGTGTTGTATTGAAACATTAGATCACTTTGGAGAAAATGAATTTCTTTACAAAATTGAGCTTTCCATTTCATGATTATGATGTGAATTTTTAATTACTTAGGTGTTCTTTAATGTTAAAACACTTTTCATAAGTTTCTCCACTAAGGCATTTACATAAAGTTTTTGTTAGATTTATTCATAGATAATGAGTAAGTTTGATATCAGATTCCTGAACAGGCTTTCAAGGGGAGCCTCCTCCCTACACTACTTTAGCTGATCGCTGTCACCCTTACAGCGTGTTGGGAAGAGTTAATCAGTGTAATGTTTGCTCAATTGCAGTTATTGAGTTAGGAGAGTCTGAAGGTAGTGTGATCAGAAAAGAATGATTTTAGTTTGTTTTCTGTCTGAAGTGATTCACTTAGAAAGATAAAGGACTGATGCACTGTAATGTTTGTGAGGTGGACAGAGAAGGAGATGTGGGAAGGAGAGGTGAGAACTCAGGAGAGGTTCCCAGGCTTGTTCTCCTGAAAGCTGAGGGTAGACGCGGCTTCCCTGCCCCCTCTTCTTGTCTCCATCCAGCTGGAAAATCCTCCAGTCCCCAGGGGGAGACTGGCTCCTTGAGGGAGAGGTAATGTGATTGTTCCTTCCTTCCAGGTGTTTGACTTTGAACTGACTCCAGAAGACATGAAAGCAATTGACGGCCTCGACAGAAATATAAGATATTGTGATTTTCAACTGTAAGTGACTTGCAGATGTTTCGCCCACACACTGTTTTCTGTAGCAGGCGGGTCAGCAGGGGAGCTAAGATTTTCAAAAGCATAATTCTAGAAAGACAGTGCTGATTTCCTGCTTAGGAGTAACCGGGGACTTTCTGCAGACCTCACACCAGAGGTTTCCTCCAGGGTTCCGTCTTTGACTAACAGCAGTGTGATGGGCCCAGGACAACTCATCAGTAAAATCCCGAGTTGACATCGTGGTGAATGCACTCCTTTGTGCCCCAATTCCCTGTGGCTGGTGCACCTCCCCTCAGTGCCGAGAACCCAGGGAACACAAAGGGCACAGTGCCTGCAGCCAACTATTCTTTCAGCGACCTGTGAACATGGTTAATCTTTATTTCTTTTTGCATAAGGGGAAAATGATTATATTAATAATAACTATGTATTAATGAATCCATAAAGGATTGCATTCTTGTTTTCTTCTGTTAGTCACTTATTCACCCTCACATCTTTGGACATTGTGGAATGAATCACAACAGGCTCTTCAATCCATGGGATTCCCCAGGCAGGAATACTAGAGTGGGTTGCCATTTCCTTCTCCAGGGAGCCTTGGGGATCTCCTGCTTGGCAAGTGGATCCTTTATCACTGAGCCACCTGGGAAGCAGGCATTCATGTTAATCCTGTGAACACAATTATAAAATGTATTGTTGACATTTTTATTGAGGAGGGTTTCATGAAGGCCAACGTGCAACAGTGCTGTGAAGTCACATGGGCCTGCTCATAAGTGTCTCGTGGATATTCTCATTAATGGGCATTCTTTTCTAAGACACCATCCATTTCTTTCCAATTAATCTCTTCATTGATGTTTTTTTTTGCTATTACAACTCCTATGTCCTCATTCCTGTTATCTCACAAAGCTGAATTACCAGTAGATCATGAGCTTAACTGACCCTCCACTGAGTGACTTCTGGGTCCTTAGCAGGACACACCCTGATAGGATCATCTGGGTCTCTGGTTTCTTGAGTAAAGACTCACCCCAGTTTAGCTTTTGTCCATCAGAAGTCCTTGGTGGCTCAGATGGTAAAGAATCCACCTGCAGGGCGGGAGACCTGGGTTCAATTCCTGTGTGGGAAGATCCCCTGGAGGAGGGCATGGCAGCCCACTCTAACATTCTTGCCTGAAAAATCCCATGGACGGAGGAACCTGGTGGGTTACAGTCCATGGCGTCACAAACAGTCAGACATGACCGAGCAACTAAGCACACTTTAGAAGTCCATCCCCTGGGGAGCCCCCACCTCCTTGACTTTGACTTAGTCACTAACATGATTCCAGTGATTAATTACTGCAGGAGACTATTGGGACTGAAGAGACAGAAGAGAAATTTGGAAGGGAGTTTAGAGAGAAGGGAATATAAATTATTGGTTAACAAAGATTATGCTTCAAATGAAAGATCCCAAAACTCTCCCTATTGTTTGTAAAGCTATATCATGATTCTGACAAGTGTGGAAGCACTCAGTCATGTCCGACTCTTTGGCAACCCATAGACTATACAGTCCATGGAATTTTCCAGGCCAGAATACTGGAGAGGGTAGCCTTTCCCTTCTCTAGGGGATCTTCCCAACCCAAGGATTGATCTAGGTCTCCCACATTGCAGGCAGATTCTTTACCAGCTGAGCCACTATCATGTTCTGATAAAAGACATCATAATTGAAGAAAAGTGGATAGTTGCATTTCTATACTTAAAAGCTTTTAAGTATAACTGTATATTCTCTTTCATTAGGCTGTGAATGCCTAGACTTACACATCTTTGTAGGCCTGGGTCAACAGCACAGCTCCTGGCACTTGGAATCATTCAGAATTCACTTTTTAATGAATTGAATTGAAAAGGACATTTTCAGAAAGAAAAGTAGAAACACAGAAAAAAAGGAAAACAGCAGTAATACTAATTGCTGAATAACCAGTGTTTTAATATAGTACAGTATAGATTAAGAAAATAACAATCCCACTCTGTACTCTATGATTATTCAGGTACACATGGTATCTCTCCAATAGATAAGAAGTTCCTTAATGGAGACACTCTGTTTTGGGGGTGCTCAACACCAGCTTATTAATAGGTTTGTGGAAAAGAGGAGCTAATTTGTTCACTGCGACCCTTCTCATCATCTAGGGATGGAAGTTCCACTTGTGTCTGAAATGATCTCCATAGTTAGACCCAGGTCTTGTGACTTCTTGGAAATTGTAACCTGAGTCAAACTACGTATCACTGTGGAGTGAATAGTACACGTGAATGTTGGGACTGTAAGTGCAGGTGCAGTGTGCACATGGAGCAGACACCTGCATGTGTGCTTGTCGGAGAGGGTGGGGAGAAGGAGGGATGTGTTTGTAGACTGAGAGTTTCAGCCCATCCTGACTGCCTCCACAGAGTAATGCTCTCTCTGACGATATGACTGATTTAATAAATTAATCCTCTTCCTTCTCTTTCAGGGGTGTTGGTCACCCTGAGTTTCCATTTTCTGAAGAATATTGACTCTTAGTCTTCCTTCTGGATCTTCAAGAATTTCTTGCTTCTAGGGGATGGGATTTTTGTACTTGGTGGAGGTGCTTAAATGAAGTGTCCGAATATTTAAAAGCTTGACTTTCCTTAAAAAAAGAAAAATAGTTTATGAAACAATAAAGACTTCAAAGTAAGAATACTCTTTCTTTCTGATATTTGAAAAAACATGCAAATTGCAGAAAATTTGGAAAACAGAAGGGAAAGGATTGGAAATAAAAATAAGCTATGATTAAACCATTTGCTAATACTTAACTTTGGTGCATTTTCTTTATGAATCCTATGCAATTGTGTATGTGTGTTTATATACAAAGACAAGTAATCTTCAATCTACAGATTGTATGTTTATTTTTTAACTTAGCATAATTATCTTGATAAGCTAAAAATATGATTTAAAAAATCCAGTATTATATTTTTTATTGTAAAGCAACACATCTTATTCATTTATTTAATTTCTTAATTGTCCGCCCATGCTTAGCATTTTGATGAGGTCTTATATATTCTCCTAGTATTTCATTAGTTGCCATTCACTGTCATTCAGCAAAGCTTTTTACTGAATGTTTTTTAGTAGTGAATTGTTTTATCAATAAATGTTAATTAAAATGAGAACTTCTTTTTCTTTTAAAATGAGAAATTCTTGGGTTTATAGTCTAGTGGAGGATGAGAGAGTAAATGAAATCAGGGGAATTTAGCTGTTAGAAATGGGTAAGTGCCTGTTGAGAAAATTCTACACAATCTCTTGAATTTCTGTACATCTGTTAGGCAGAAACACCAACTTCCCTACATCCCACACAACTTTCCAATTGTACAAGAAGCAGCCTTGAAAGAGAGATCGTGACTCCCTTCATTTCTCTGGAACACAAAACACTAAATTCAGGAAGGAAGAGTGTTCACATAACATTTAAGGGCCAGCAAGTCAGATGATGTGGGTGAAGTTTAGTGAGGAAAGAAGACAGGAGTTGAGACAAGCCAGAGAGCCAGTGGGGCCAGTGGGGCCAGTGGATCTGTGTCACGTAGGCATTTAAAAGGACTTTTCTGTGAGAGAAACGGAGAATGAAATTTTGTGTTTTGAGCTGAGCAGTTACATGAACAGACATGAGTTTTAAAAAAATCAACCTGGTTGTTATGTTGAGAAGAAAAGAGAAAAAAGAGCCTTCTTTTAGGACTCTATAGGAATTTAGGTGAGAGATGATGTTGGCTTGGACCACAGAAGGAGCAGTAAATATGGTCAGAGTTGTTAGAATAGGGATTTATTTTAGGGGAAGCATGAATTTGACTGTCTAACATGTTGGACATCCAGTTAAAGGAAAAGGGGCATCAAAGTTGACTCCAGATGTTTGTGGCTAAGGGACAGGAAATGGAGATGCCATTTTCTCAGATGGAGATAATGTAGGGGAGCACACTTTTGTGGGAAGATTAGGAGTTCCATTATAGATCTGTATCTTTGAGATGCCTTTAGGTACCCAAGTGAAGATGCATGCATACAGTTGGACATAGAATTCTATCAGAGAAAAGGTTTAGATAAAATATTTAATTTGTGGTTTGTTAATTTTAGTTGCCTCTTAAAGCCACGAGACTAGATAACCAGAGATATGTTATAAAGTGAGTGGTATAGATAGGGAAGTTAAGCTTCATAAGAACCCAGCATTAAGAAGATGATTTAAAAAAAAATATGGAGGAATCTGCAAAAGAGGCTGAGAAAGATTGGTGAGTGAGGAAGGAGGGGTTGTTCTTAGAAGGCACGTGAAGCAGATGTTTGGAAGATAAAAGAGACCAATGCTAACAAGGGGACAAGTCAGAGAAGACTGAAACTGACCACTGGATTGGGCAGTTAACCTTGGCAAGGTCAAGTGCAGCTTTGATAGAGTGATGAAGGCAAACCCTGAGTAGAGTGGGTTCAAGAAATGGTGCAAGAGACCAATGAGAAGCAGAGTATACACAGTTTTCAAAGACTTTGCTATAGTGAGGACCACAGAATTGCACAGTCTGTGAGGAGAAAAATGGAATCAAGAGACAAGTTTCCCTGATGCAGCAGATGACTGCCTGCCTCTGAGGTTGGAGGAACAGTCCAGCAGAGAGAGGAAAACCTATGATGCAGGAGACGGAGATGGGGCTGACTTGAACCACATCTGTATTAGTTACTGTTGCTGCTACAACAAATGACCAAAACCTTTGTGGATGGAAACAAAAATAATGCATTATTTTATATTTCTGGAGATCAGAAATTAAAAATCTGGTTCTGTGAGCTAAAGTTGAAGTGTCAGCAGGCGTGCATTCTTTTCTGGAGGTTGTAGGGAAAAATCTGTTCTCTTGCCTTTTCCAACTCCTAAAGACCAGGTCTTGTGTTGTTGGAAGAGGGAATTTGCTAAGACCAGAGCATTCTCTTTGTAACTCTGTTTAGTCTTTGCCCTGCTTCATTTGTACTCCAAGGCCAAACTTGCCTGTTACTCAGGTATCTCTTGACTTCTTACTTTTGCTTCACAGTCCTCTACGATGAAAAGGACTTTTTTTTTTTCTTTTTTTGGTGTTGGATCTAGAAGGTCTTGTAGGTCTACAGAACCATTCAACTTCAGCTTCTTTGGAATTTGAAGTTGGGGCATAGACTTGGATTACTGTGATGCTGAATGGTTTGTTCTGGAAATGAACTGAGGTCCTTCTCCTGTTTTTGAGATTGCACTCATGTACTGCATTTCAGACTCTTCTCTTGACAATGAGGGCTACTCCAATTCTTCTAAGGGATTCTTGCCCACAGTAGTAGATATAATGGTCATCTGAATTAAATTTGCCCATTCCAGTCCATTTTAGTTCACTGATTCCTAAAATGTTGATGTTTACTCTTGCCATCTCCTGTTTGACCATATCCAATTTACCTTGATTCATGGACCTAACATTCCAGCTTCCTATGCAATATCGTTCTTTAAAGCATCAGACTTTACTTTTACCACTAGACACACCCACAACTGGCTATTGTTCTGCGTTGGCTCATCCTCTTCTTTCTTTCCGCTGGTACATTTCTGTTCTTCCTTAGTAGCATGTTGGGCACCTACTAACCCGGGGTGCTCATCTTTCAGTGTCATATCTTTTGGCCTTATCATACTGTTAATCGGGTTCTTAAGGCAAGAATGCTAAGTGGTTTGCCATTCCCTTTTCCAGTGAACTGCATTTTATCAGAACTCTCTACCAGGACCTGTCCATTGTGGGTGGCCCTGGATGGCATGACTTATAGACTGAGTGACTGAACTGAACTGATAGTTACTGGAGTTACACAAGGCTTTGATCCATCTGATTATTTTGGTTAGTTTTCCGTGATTGCAGTTTTCATTCTGGAGGCCATAGTATTGAGATTCTTGCTCCTTCTGTCTGCCCTGTGATAGATGAGGATAAGAGGCTTGTGCAAGCTACCTGATGGGAGGGTCTGGCTATGGGGAAAACTGAGTCTTGCTCTGGTGGGCAGGGCCGTGTTCAGTAAATCTTTTACCCAATTTTCTGCTAATGGGTGGGACTGTGGCTCCTCCCTGTACTAGGGAAAGCAACTAGTCAATTCAGGTCAGTTCAGTTCAGTTGGTCAGTTGTGTCTGACTCTTTGTGACCCCATGGACTGCAGCACACCAGGCTTTCCTGTCCATCACCAAGTCCTGGAGCTTACTCAAACTCATGTCCATCGAGTCAGTGATGCCATCCAGCCATCTCTTCCTCTGTTGTTCCCTTCTCCTCTCACCTTCAATCTTTCCTAACATCAGGGTTTTTTCCAGTGAGTCAGTTCTTTGCATTAGGTGGCCAAATTATTGGAGTTTCAGCTTCAGAATCAGTTCTTGCAATGAATATTCAGGACTGATTTCCTTTAGGATGGGCTGGTTGGATCTCCTCACAGTCCAAGTGATTCTCAAGAGTGTTCTCCAACACCACAGTTCAAAAGCATCAATTCTTCAGTGTTCAGCTTCCTTTATAGCCCAACTCTCACATCCATACATGACTACTGGAAAAACCAAAGCTTTGACTAGATGGCCTTTTGTTGGCAAAGTAATGTCTCTGATTTTTAATATGCTCTCTAGGTGTGTCATAGCTTTTCTTCCAAGGAGCAAATGTTTTTTAATTTCATGGCTGCGGTCACCATCTGCAGTGATTTTGGAGCCCCCCAAAATAAAGTCTCTCGCTGTTTCCATTGTTTCCCCATCTATTTGCCACGAAGTGATGGGAGCAGATGCCATGATCTTAGTTTTCTGAATGTTGAGCTTTAAAACAACTTTTTCACTCTCCTCTTTCACTTTCATCAAGAGGCTTTTTAGTTCTTTGCTTTCTGCTATAATGGTTGTGTCATCTGCATATCTGATGTTATTGATATTTTCCCCAGCAATCTTGATTCCAGCTTGTGCTTCATCCAGCCCTGCATTTCTCATGATGTACTTTGCATATAAAGTATGCAGGGTGATGATATACAGCCTTGATATACTCCTTTCCTGATTTGGAAACTGTCTGTTGTTCCATGTCCATTTCTAACTGTAGCTTGTTGACCTGCATACAGATTTCTCAAGAGACAGGTCAGGTGGTCTGGTATTGCCATCTCTTGAAGAATTTTCCACAGTTTGTTGTGATGGCCATTCAGGTATGACCTAAGTCAAATGGTTATACAATAGAAGTGACAAGTAGATTCAAGAGATTAGATCTGATAATCTGATACACTGTGCCTGTGGATGGAGGTTCATAACATTGTACAGTAGGCAGTGACTGAAACCATCACCAAGAAAAAGAAATGCAAGAAGACAAAATGGTTGTCTGAGAAGGCATTACAAATACCTGAGGAAAAAAGAGGAGTGAAAGGCAAAGGAGAAAGGGAAATATATAGGCAACTGAAGAGAATATATATAGGCAATGTAGAGTTCTGAAGACTAGCAAAGAGGGATAAGAACACCTTCATAAGTGAACAATGCAAAGAGATAGATTGAAACAATAGAATGAGAAAGACTAGAGATCTCTTCAGAAAATTAGAGATACCAAGGGAAAATGTCATGCAAAGGTGGGCACAGTAAAGGACAGAAACAGTATGGACCTAAAAGAAGCAAAAGAGATTAAGAACAGATGGCAAGAATAAACAGAAGAATTAGCTAAAAATGTTTTAATGATCCAGATAACCACGATGGTGTGGTCACTTACCTCCAGCCAGACATCCTGGAGTGTGAAGTCTAGTGGGCCTTAGGAAGCATTACTATGAACAAAGGTAGTGGAGATGATGGATTTCAAGCTGAACTATTTTAAATCCTAAAAGATGATGCCATTAAAGTGTTGCACTCAATTTACCAGCAAATTTGGAAAATTGTAGAAAATGTCAGTTTTCATTTTAATCCCAAAGAAAGGCAAATGCAAAGAATGTTCAAAATATGGCAAATTGCACTCTTTTCACATGCTAACGAATTAATGCTCAAAATCCTTCAAGCTAGACTTCAACAGTATGTGAGCCAAAGACTTCCAAATGTACAAGTTGGATTTAGAAAAGGCAGAGGCCCAGAGATCAAATTGCCAGCATCCATGGGATCATAGAAAAAGCAAGAAAATTCCAGAAAAATATCCACTTCTCCTCACTGACTATGCTAAAGCCTTTGGCTGTGTGGGTCACAACAAACTGTGGGAAATTCTTAAAGAGATGGGAATACCAGACCACCTTACTAGCCTCCTGAGAAACCTGTATGCAGGCCAAGAAGCAACAGTTAGAATTGGATATGAAACAATGGGCCGCTTCAAAATTGGGAAAGAAGTATGTCAAAGCTGTTTATTATTGTATCCTGCTTATTTAACTTATATGCAGAGTACATCATGTGAAATGCAGAACTGGATGAATCACAAGCTGGAATCAAGATTGCCAGGAGAAATATCAGTAACCTCAAATATGCAGGTGATACTACCCTTCTGGCAAAAGTGAGGAGGAACTGAAGAGCCTCTTGATGAAAGTGAAGGAGAAGAGTGAAAAAGTTGGCTTAAGACTCAACATTCAAAAACTGAGATTATGGCATCTGGTCCCATAACTTTATGGGAAATATATAGGGAAAAAATGGAAAAAGTGACAGACTTCATATTCTCAGGCTAAAAATCAATGTAGACTGTGACCACAGCCATGAAATTAAAGACACTTGCTCCTTGGAAATATAGCTATGAGAAGCCTAGACAGCATATTGAAAAGCAGAGACATCACTTTTCTGACCAAGGTCCATAGAGTCAAAGCTGTGGCTTTTCCTGTAGTCACATATGGATGTGAGAGTAGGGCCATAAAGAAAGTTGAGCACCGAAGAATTGATGCTTTTGAACTGTGGTGCTGGAGAAAACTCTTAGGAGTCCCTTGGACTGAAAGAAGATCAAACCAGTCAACCCTGAAGTTCCAACCCTGATATTTATTGAAAGGACTGATGCTGAACCTGAAGCTCCAATACTTTGGCCACCTGATGCTAAGAGCTGACTCATTAGAGAAGACCCTGATTTTGGGCAAGATTGAAGGCAGGAGGAGAAGGGCTGACAGATGATGTGATGGTTGGAGGACTTCATTGACTCAATGGATATGAATTTGAGCAAACTCTGGGAAATAGTGTGGACAGAGGGTGTAGTCCATAGGGTGCTGCAGTCCATAGGGTGGCAAAGAGTTGGACACAACTGAGAGACTGAACACCTCATTTTTTGTATTGTAGACTCTTCTTCCTTCTTCAGAAACAGCACATCACATCTTGGAGTCTCTTTTCTAATGCTCCTATCTTTCCACCTTCTCTTCGACTACAGTCCTCCCAGGTCCCATGACTTTGTGATTACACTAGGGTGACCCAGGTAATCTAGGGACATCCCCTGTCTCATGGTTTAAATCACCTTTGATAAGTAGTTCCCTGACCAGGTTCAGAACCTGTGCCCCCTGCAGTGGAAGCACAGAGTCGTCATCACTGGAACCACCAGGGAAGTCCCAGGTTCAGAAAGATTTTACCCATAATTTCACCACATACATTTTGCACCCCTTTTCCTTTCTCTTCTCCTTCTGGAGCCCCTATCATGTGAATGTCTTTATGTTCTATTCCCTAGTTAGAGAAGCATTCTTAATTACTATTCTAAATTCTGGTAAATGAATTATTTTGGTAAATTATTCATCTCTATCTCTTTAGTGGATTTTTTCAGGTGTTTTTCTTATTGTTTCATTTGAGACAAATTCCTCTGTCTTCTCATTTTGCTTTACTTTCTCTGTCTCTATGAAATTAGGTGAAAAAGTTTCCTGATTTGTTCTTATAGTGGTGTCCTTGTGTGGATGCATCTTTGTGCAATCTGTGTGCCCAGAAGCCTTGGGGCAGAGCTGGAGCTGAGGTGGGCAGGGTCATCCCTTCCCAGGGCGTGCTGGCAACTGTCACCTTGATGGGAGGGGGTGGGGGAGGCATGAACCAGAGCCCAGTGTGAGCAAAGACTTCTCCTGTGCTCATTGACTATCCCAACCCTACTGGGCTAGGCGGGTCCCAAGGAGCTGGAGCAGAAGCCATGAAGGTCCGCCTCAATTTAGTTTCACCCCTTGTAAGTGTGCACCCCCTCCCCATCCCTGACGCTGGCACCTTTACCCCAGAGGGGAGCAGAGCTGGAGGAAGGCGTGCTGGAGAAGCCCCTGGCATGGATGCCCTTGCATGTGGTGCAACCCTGGCACACTTGTCAGAGTTCCAGACCCTGCTTCTCTGGCCCCTCTCTGATGGTTGCCCTGCCCCATCCATACGTGCATGTGTTCCTGTGTGTGGTCCTTTGTGAAGGTGTTAAAGTTGGGTACTTTAAACAACTTGTTTGAGAAACAAGGCAAATACTCTTGGTAGATTTGTTCCTTGTCATGATTTTCCTTCATTAGTTTGCTTGGTATGCTCCTAGTCCTGGTTTTAGCCCAACAGGAAAACTGAGGGGTCTCAGTTCATTTCTGAGTCAGCATCTTGCCTGGTCCGTGGGTGGCTTTCTGATTCTGGTGTATTTATGACTGTTTTTCAATGCTGTATGTCCCCCCTCAACCCCAATCCACACCCCAGTTCTACTCAGGGTTTTACTAATACTTGGTCTCGTCTCTGTCTCCTTCCTTATTCCTTTGTCCTTGGCCCCATATATATATATATATGGGCTTCCCTGGTAGCTTAGATGGTAGAGAATCTGCCTACAATTCAGGAAACCTGGGTTCAATCCCTGGGTCGGGAGGATCCCCTGGAGAAGGGACTGGCAACCCACTCCAGTATTCTTGACTGGAGAATTCCGTGGACAGAGGAGCCTGGTGGGCCATGCCCATAGGGTTGCAAAGAGTCAGACATGACTGAGCAACTAACACTCACTCCATACATATACAGTCCCCCTGAATCTGTAATAGCCCCTCTAGCTGCTCTTCAGTTTAAGTTTAGAGTTAAGTGGAACAGAGAGTGATCTCCAAACAGCCCCCAAATAGGTTGGAACATTGCACACAGGTTTTCTGTGATCACTTTTGCTTGAGGGAGGCAACTGGGAGCTGATCAAGACTGCACTGCTCCAAACAGGTGGAGGGTACAGGTAGGTGAGTGATGCACAATGAAATTCCCTGTCACACCCTGTTCAGAATTTTTCCTAATTGCCTCTTTACTTTGTTGCTGTAGTTCTTTGTTTGACTGTTTTCCAGAACTCCTATGAGGGTTTTCAGCTGCTTTCTCTCTCCTTTATCATCTTTCCTTGGGAGAATTTCCTTATGGCAGAAAGTGAAGAGGAACTAAAAAGCCTCTTGATGAAAGTGAAAGAGGAGAGTGAAAAAGTTGGCTTAAAGCTTAACATTCAGAAAACTAAGATCATGGCATCTGGTCCCATCACCTCATGGGAAATAGATGGGGAGACAGTGGAAACAATGGCAGACTTTATTTTTTGGGGGCTCCAAAATCACTGCAGATGGTGACTGCAGCCATGAAATTAAAAGATGCTTACTCCTTGGAAGGAAGGTTATGACCAACCTAGATGGCATATTAAAAAGCAGAGACATTACTTTGCCAACAAAGGTCCATCTGGTCAAGGCTATGGTTTTTCCCGTGGTCATGTATGGATGGGAGAGTTGGACTGTGAAGAAAGCTGAGAGCCGAAAATTTGATGCTTTTGAACTATGGTGTTGGAGAAGACTCTTGAGAGTCCCTTGGACTGCAAGGAGATTCAACCAGTGCATCCTGAAGGAGTAAGTCCTGGGTGTACATTGGAAGGACTGATGCTGAAGCTGAAACTCCAATACTTTGGCCACCTCATGCGACGAGTTGACTCGTTGGAAAAGACCCTGATGCTGGGAGGGATTGGGGGCAGAAGGAGAAGGGGATGGCAGAGGATGAGATGGCTGGATGGCATCACCGACTCGATGGACATGAGTTTGAGTAAACTCCGGGAGTTTGTGATGGACAGGGAGGCCTGACGTGCTGTGATTCATGGGGTTGCAAAGAGTCAGACACGACTGAGCGACTGAACTGAACTGAGCTCATCATTCTGCTGGCATCATGGTACATATTAAACTTTTAACTTCACAATATAACCTTGTAACATTGCATGATAATTTCCCTTACTCTTCCTGAATTTGTTATAATTTGTTTATAGGTTATTCTTTTGTGAGTAATACTGAATAAGATAGTAAGTTAAGTGAAATATGTAAAATATATATCAGTTACATTATGAGAGTACTCTAATAGTTATATAACTAAGGACAAGGTACAAGCACTCAAAGTCTGTTTGCAGATTGCATATGGTATCCTAAAGCTATTAATTGTTAACCTACAATGAGGAATTTGCCAAATGTCTGGTTTTGGTATCCTGTTCAGGATTTCACCACTGTAAGACCTGTAAAGCAAAATAATTTTGCTGGTGGAAAATGTAGAAAAGGAAATTTATGTTCTTTTGAAGTTTTAATTCTTTATTTAGGGAAAACATTTTGAAAACTCCTTATCAAACACTTTTGTATGTGAGTGTGTTTGTACTGTAAGGTAGTTGTTTCAATTGATGTTTGATTGAGATTGGCTTCATAATAGAAAAATAAAAAAGATTATTGTGTAGAGTTTCTTGTGCAAGTAATGATTAATAATTGTTCAGCACATCTCATCACTATTTGATACTTAAGGTTATATTGATTTAAAAAATCAAACAAGTTAACTAATTTCAATTCTCCTCTTACTCTATGGGCACTGGTTTAGTCATGCTCCTCCTACAACATATCAGCTAACATTGGATCCTGCAGTGGGTGTTACCTTCCTGTTATTTATAACTGTGAGTGAAGAAGAAAAAATCAGTCTGCTTACTCAGAGGAGAAACAGGCAATGGATTCCAAAAGGCAAGTGAAGCTTAATGATGGCCACTTCATTCCTGTCCTGGGATTTGGAACCTATGCACCTCTAGAGGTAAGAGTAGTGGTTTGGAGTTGAGATATAAAAAATAGTGGATATAACATGAGTGAAAGGGATGTGGGGTCTCAAGTCTTGAGTTCCCATGTAACACTAGGAGGGACATTTGGTTCATTAACCAGGCTAGAACCATGGCCTATGACAGAGGAGAGAGCATCCAGTCTCCATTCTGCATCAAGGTCTGAGGCTGTGCTTACCTGCAGATTACTCTGGGTTCCCCTCCAGTTTCCATCTCTTTCCCAGTTTGGCAGAAGAGGTGAGACGTGGCCATCAAGACCACTGACTGTCAGCTGCTTAGCTTTGAGGGGGATTGCAATGGTGGGGTTTCTCTGTATATTTCATGAGTTCCAGAACACTTTTCTTCTGCCCCAAAGACATGATCCAGAGAAACATTTGAGATGGAAGGTCCTGAAGACAAGATGACTGAAAAATAATGCGAGAGAATTGCTTTTCTTCTGTGGGATACCTGCTCAGTGCTAGGGCAGAAACACTCCAGCTGTGTTTTCCCCTGTACTTCTCTTTCTGCTTGGAAACTTCTTCTGATGGGTATTATAGTATCATTTGAGCAGGGAGGAGGATATAACTGAGGGGATATCACTGAGGGGATAAACTACAGTCTTACAAGCCAGGTTTTGCAATATATTCTTGGGTTTCATTGTGTGTTTTTATTAATGTATAGTCTGAAGTTTTTGGGTATAAGTGGGGCTAGTGGACAAGTCTTTAGACTGGAGGGCAGAAAGTTGGCTGTCTGTCTTGTCTTTAGAGCATAACTGTCACAAGGGACTGGTCCTTAAACTTTGAGTCTCACTTTTTTCATCTATAAAACAGATAGAAATACCCAGAGACATTTTGGAAACAGAAGACAGGACTTTGTAGTACTCAGGGGGTGAGGGCAGGGAAGGGTGCAGGCTGTCAATGAGGGTTCATGGCTCAGTACATCCCCAAATGTCCGAGCATTTAAGAAAAACCAGGAGCAGACACCACAGAGGGAAGTTAGACCAAATATCTATCTCCTTGAAATAGGACAGATTCTGAATCATGTAAAGAAAAATGGAGGACTTGTATTGGAGAAGGATTCCAAATGGGTCGCAACCACAGCCGCGCCCCACGGAGGGAGCGGAGGCGGTCCTGGTCCACATCCCGGGAAAGAGAATGCAGGCGCCGAGAAAGACCCGGGTTCCGGGAGCGAGATCGGAGAAGAAGCTGCTCTCGCTCCCCACACAGATGGCGTTCCAGGTCCCCAAGGCAACATAGATCCACATCTCCTTCCCCTTCTCTACTGAGAGAAACAAGAGATGAGGAGAAGAAAGAAACAAAAGAAACAAACAGCAAAGAATGTCAGATAACTGAGGAAGACTTAGAGGGCAAAACAGAGGAAGAAATAGAAATGATGAAGTTAATGGGATTTGCCTCCTTTGGCTCCACAAAAGGGAAAAAGGTGGATGGCTCTGTAAATGCCTATGCCATATATGTGTCTCAGAAGAGAAAGTATAAGCAGTACATGAATCGAAAATGTGGATTCAACAGACGTTTGGATTTCATTGCATGAGCTCAAGTGTTGAAGAATGATGTTTTTTCCCTCATCTTGATCAGAACAGTGGATTTTTTATTTAATATGCATCAAAAACAGGATCACAGTCCTTCCTCTTTGTAAAGTAAGAAAATTTTATTTATGATGTGTGTAGTTCACTTACCCTGCCTCAAAAAAAGAGAAGTTAAATATTACATTTTTTTCCTTTAGGAAATATCATTTGGGGCAGTCACCAACCCCATTTTTTTGTCCTTATTCCTATGGGAACTGTATATGTTTTTCTCTTGGATGCTGTTTATGACTTCTTAAAATACATAAAGTGATTTGGAAGTAAGTTTCTCAAATAAAGCAATAATTTCTAAAAAAAAAAATGGAACATTTATTCAGCATTATAAACAAAATAATCCTGCCATTTGTAACCACACAGATGAACTGGGAGAACATTAAGCTAAGCAAAATTAGCCAGAAATAGAAAGACAAATACTACATGATATCTTTATAGGTGGATTCTCTAAAAGTGAACTTGTAGAAGCAGAGAATAGAGAAAGGGTGACCAGAAGCTGCTGTCAAGGCTGGGAAAAGTGGAGAGATGTTGGTCAATGGTATAGACCTTCAGTTATAGGATGAATAAGCCTGAAAAACTGATATATAGCACAGTGACTATAGTTAAAGATAATGTACTATAACATGAGATTTTGTTAGATTAGATTTTAAGTCTTCTTACAAACAACCTTAATAGTTAGCTATGGGAGGTGATGGATCTGTTACCTAGCTTGATTGTGGTGATTATTAACTATGGATTCTTATATAAGAACATCACTTTGTACACCTTGAATAGATACAGTTTTATTTGGTGTATTCTGTGTAGTTTCACTGGTAGACAGAGGTCTCAAATGCTTTCACTTGGTTTCTTGTTGCTTATACCAGGCACCTTATATCTTTGTAGGTAAGTATACATCTCACAGTATAAATGCTACCCATGACTACAACTTAGTCTGAGTCTTTTGGCTTCTAAAAGCAAATCACTGAACCTGGAGGTGTACTTGGGTCCTCTGAGATCAGTAATCAACCACTGGTTGCCTGGGGTTGAAGGGTTCCTGGGTGTCCATGGAATAACTCACCAGGAATGTTTGGGGAAACTATCATGGGTTCATCACCACACATATAGAACTAACCAAAGGCACGAAGAAAAGTCGACCCTTGGGAAGATAAAAGCTTGTACCTTAACAATCTCTTAATCATGTGGATATTCAACATTTCTGTTTACATAGATTGCTAAGAGTGAAGCTCAGGAAGTCACCCAATTCGCTATAGAGGTCGGGTTCCGCCATATTGACTGTGCTCATGTGTACCAAAATGAAGAGCAAGTTGGCCAGGCCATTCGAAGCAAGATTGCAGATGGCACTGTGAAGAGAGAAGACATATTCTACACTTCAAAGGTGCTATGCATGTTATGTGTGAACATGTATGCAAGTGATTGTGCCAAGGTGACAATTATATAATAGGGTAATTTGTTTGGTGATCTGTGCTTATCAGTAAATTCCTAAAGTATTAGAATTCCCTTGTGGTTCAGTGGTTAAGACTTGGTGCTTTAATGCCATGAGCCCAGATTTGATCCTTGGTCAGGGAAGTAATATCCCACAAGCCTCACAGTAAGGCAAAAAAAAAAAAAAATTCCCTGAAGTATTATTGATAAAACTTCCTTTCTTTAATCTCTACAGCTTTGGTTAACTTCCCTTCGACAAGAGTTTGTCCGACCAGCCTTGGAAAAGTCACTGGAAAATCTTCAACTGGACTATGTCGATCTCTATATTATTCATTTTCCACTGGCTGTGAAGGTTGGAAATATGTGTGATCACATCAGTTTTATTTCTTGTGTTAGAATGTGCATCAGCTTGCGTGGATGGTTGAATTAAGATTTGTCTTAGTAGGTTGAAGGGACGATTACACTAGAGTAGAATCTCCCAAACAATAATTTGTGATCTTCTTTTTACTGAGGTTCTTTGACTCCCTTACATGCCTCCCAGAGAAAAGATTTAATAATCTGAGAGTCTCTGCCAGAAAAACGTAAGGAAGTAGAAGCAGGTCAGTTCTGCACACAGTCCTGAATATGATTCCTGGGTCTCTGGGGATTTCATGAACCAAAAGTTTGGTGCAGCCGTGGTGAGCATGACATTGCCTTATATTGAACATGATGAGTTTCTCTTGTCTTTCACCCTTTCAAGTTGAGCATGTTTGGTGGTGTTCCCTCTGGGTGCATCTAAACTTTGTTCCTTTATAAGGACTTGGGAGAGATTGCCTCCTCTCTTGCCTGACCTCATGATGAGGTTTGTAGACTGCACTTAGCTGTTAAGAATGGGTTACTGAGAACTCTTGATTTCAAGTTACAAAAAGCAGCTCTAACCATCTGATGCACAATAGCTTAGTGGACTATGTAGATGACAAGTCATAGCCACAGACAGCTTGGGGATTCGCAGTACTCTTCAGAAATATCTCCTAATTTATACTGATTTCTATCCCTTATCAGGATGTTACTCATGGTTTGCTTATTTTTTACTGAAAATTTTCCACTGGTGGCAAATATGACCTTGGGGCAGCTCAAGGTTCATGGCCATGACCATTTGAGACCCTTGATCTTCCACAATGGTCTCAAAGACCATTGATCTTTGAGACCTTGATCTTCCACAATCTGTACCAACTTAAGGAGAGTCTTGCTGGTTCATGTGCCTGCCCTAGGGCGTCTGATGCTCAGAGGGAAAAGGAAATCTGATTATCTAGCCCAGGTCAAGTTTGAAATTTTTATTCTGGAAATAAAGCCATGTAACTTACTGCCATTCTCAGATCAGAGATATTTCAAAAGAGGGAAGTACAAGAACAGACAAAATTAACAGAAGACACTTGCAGTCCTTTTTAGGACCTAGAAAAATTGTACTTATTACAACATGTATTGAGTGTGAAAAAGTAGAATAAGCCTCACTCCTAAAGACCTTGCTTACATCTCCAAATGTTAGTATCTAGAAAGTTGTAAACCTACCTCATGTAGGTTTACTCCCAGGTGCCTGAAGGCCTTGCTAAATGTGGAGAAATTATTTTGTGACATGTTTAAAATGACTGCTTCTATTCTAGCCAGGGGAGGAATTATTTCCAAAAGATGAAAATGGAAAACTGATAGCTGACTCAGTGGATCTCTGTCACACATGGGAGGTGAGTTCCAAGAGTACAGAATTAAAGGAGGAGCCAGGAGAGTGGAAACCTCTATCAATTCTTCTGCCTGTGAGAATGGGCTGTGGGCCATCAGACTCAGCAGTTCATGAACTCTAAGGGATATGATGCTGGGGTTGTGGGGAGGAAACCATTGTTGAAATGTTCACAGAGAGGAACAGAGGAGGAGAATCTGGGACAGTGAGACAGATATTTATTTCCTTCCATGTGATATATGTTCTCCAGGCTTTTCCAAGGAGGAGATGGCAATTCTTTTTGTGTCATGCCATTCTTCCCCTCTTTCCTTCTTGATAATCAATGCTAATTCTTGCTGGATGACACTTTTTACAGATTCTTTTTCAGCTTTTATTATTGTTCTCTTGCCCATTCCGAGTGACTGCTCACCACCCCTCCCTCCCAGGCGCTTGAGAAGTGTAAGGATGCAGGGCTGACCAAGTCCATCGGGGTGTCCAACTTCAACCACAAGCAGCTGGAGAAGATCCTGAACAAGCCGGGGCTCAAGTACAAGCCCGTCTGCAACCAGGTGAGCAGCTTGGCTCCTCTCCCTCCTGCTCTTCACAACCTCCTTCTGCCCTGGAGCCTGATGTCTGTCTGTCCTCTCCTCCTGTTCATCTGACCTTTGTGGGTCAAAGGATTCTAGAGAGCAGAGCCTCTGTCTGGACTTTGTGAATGAAATCCATAGCGATATCTCTGATAAAGCCTGGGTGGATAGGTGTGGAGGGCTTCCTGGTAAATTGTGGGTAGAATCCAGAACTAGAGGAAGGAGACATTTCCCTGAGATGGAAGGATGACCAGACGGAGGGTGAAAGTGACTTGGAGCGAACTGCAAGCAGGAAGGAAGACCGTGAAAACCTGGAATGGATTCATGTTGAGGTTTGACAGAAACCAGCAAAATTCTGTAAAGTAATCATCCTCCTGTAAAAAATCAATTAATTAAAAAAACTGGAATGGGAAGTAATAAAGAGACAAATCAGCTGAGATGGATGTTAAGTGTTCGTGTGGTGTTCTGTTGGCTGAATCCAAAATCTTGGTGTCTCAGCATTTATGAGTCTCAACAAGGAGCACAGAACAGAAAAATGTGCTGGAGATGATGGAAATCATCCAGGTTAGAGGGTTAATTTAAAGGCTCATGGTGATGCTAACATTATATGAAATATTTACTCAGAAACATTTACTCAAATATAGAGCCCGCCTTTTGATTATTCAGTCTTAAACTGGTTTTCCCATCCATGTCTATCATAAAATTAACTGTATAAACACACTTTTCTCTATTTCTCTCTTGGTGTTGATATTTGCAGCTTACATCTTTTCCTGCCACATTAATAATACCTTTCCATATAATCTGACACTCTTCTCTGTTGACATTCTTCAGGTGGAATGTCACCCTTATCTCAACCAGAGGAAACTGTTGGATTTCTGCAAGTCACATGATATTGTTCTTGTTGCCTATGCTGCTCTGGGATCCCAACGACTAAAAGAATGGTATTGAATCCTAATGAAGACAACAGGAGTTTATTTAAAATTCAATTTTTGATAAAATAGTTTAAATATATTACTCAGATAACTCATAGGCACAGGGGATAAGCAGGGAGGGATGGAATGAATCCTTCTCTATTATCTTCCCATCGCCCAGACAATTTTTCTACATTGTATTAGATTGTAGACCCATCAATAACAAATGTCTGCCTTAAAATCTATATATAATCCCCCAGTTGAGACCAGAGACACAAGCTTATATCATGATTTACTTATTTATTAAACAATGAACATGTTTCTAAAAATACATGTCTAAGCCTCACATATCTTTTATCTAAAATTGGGATAATAATATGTAACTTCCAGGTCTATCATGGTAACAGATTTCACTGTGAATCATTTTTGTAAACATCTATAGAAAATTGCATAATATAAAAAATAATGAAATGAATCATTCTATATTTTGGACTATTCAACTTCTATCAATACCTGTGAAAAGTGACAATTAAAAAAAATTTTCCCAGTCTTTTTCCATCACTATTTCTTTTTGTGCCATTGTACAGACTTTAGAGCTATGAATGAAGAAAAACAACAAATGAGAATTAAAAAAGGAAAAAAAAATCGACGAGTTTGGCAGTTCTGGTCTCACTCAAACATGCATCCAAATGACTGTAAGAACTTTGTAAAAACAGACTGGGAGGTGCCACAGTTGAGGTTCTGATTCAGTATGTCTGCATTTAAGCTGGGAATTTGTATTTCTAATAAGAGCCCTGGTAATGCTGATGATCTTGGTACATGGACCACACTTTGAGAAGTACTGGTATAGAGTGGACATACGTGGTCTGTTTGGTAAAACTACTCACAAACTGAGTACCTAGTCTCAGCTCCTCAGCATTTCTGAATTTCCTTCCAGGGTGAACCTGGACCTGCCCGTTCTTTTGGAGGACCCAGTTCTTTGTGCCATTGCCAATAAGCACAAGCAAACCCCAGCTCTGGTTGCCCTTCGTTACCAGATACAACGTGGGGTTGTGGTTCTGGCCAAGAGTTACAACAAGAAACGGATCAAAGAGAACATACAGGTGATGGGTGGGGCTGTGGGCAGAGGGCTCCTAAGGAATATCCATCACGAGAGTCATTCTTTGTCTGTCTCTCAAGATTTTTCCTTGAATCAAGACAAGTTACCTGTTCTTCTCTGTGCATGAATGTGTTGTGTGTGTTCCTGGTGATTTTCTCCTCCTGATGTGGCAACAGGAGAGGTGGCATGGCTGGAGAGGGTTCAGTTTGGACAGAAAATAGATATTTTAGTTTCAGCGTTATGTCAGCCATTTATTCTGTCATCTCGTGCAAATGGCATTGTATTTTCTTTGTTCTCAGTTGATGAAATTGCATTATATGATTTTTTTAGACCATTTGAACTGCTCTAACAAAATATCACAGATTGAGTGCCTGAGAAAAATTGAAATTTATTTCTCACAGTTTTGAAGCTGGAGGTCTGAGTCAGGGTTCCTGTGTGGTCAGCTGAGGGCCCTCATCTAGGTCACAGGCCTCTCTTTGCATCTTAATGTCATGGAGGGGGCAAAGAGCTCTCCCGAGTCTCTTATATGAATATGCTATTTTAAAATCTCATTCGTGAGAGCTCCACTATCATGACCTATCAAAGACTCCATTTCTCACACCATCAACATGTAAATTTCAGTTCAGTTCAGTTCATTTCAGTCGCTTAGTTATGTTTAACTCTTTGTGACCCCATGAACCACAGCACGCCATGCCTCCCTGTCCATCACCAACTCCCAAAGTTTACCCAAACTCATGTCCATTGAGTCGGTGACGCCATCCAACCATCTCATCCTCTGTTGTCCCCTTCTCCTCCTGCCCTCAATCTTTCCCAGCATCAGGGTCTTTTCCAATGAG